CATGGTCAGAAGCTTACTCCTGGGAAACTCAGGACCTTTTGTGAGGTGGGTTGGCCATCCTTTCACATTGGTTGACCCCCACAGAGGTCTTCAGAGAAGTCCTTGATCCAGGAGATGTAGCATGTCATGACAGGGAATCCTGGGCACCGAGATCAGCTCCCCTATGTGGACTCATGGTTGCAATTAGTTCTTTGCCTATCCCTTGGCTGAGAAAGCCCCTTTCCTAATCCCTACACCCTCCTAGGACTGCTGCTAGCCTCAGATTTCACCTGCAAAGATGTTTTCTTTTCCATCCGATTGGCCCCTGAAAGCCAGCCACTCTTTGCTTTCCAAGGGATATCACCTGACACTGGACAGCACATGGACTTGGCTGTCCCAAGACTTCAAAAATTCCCCAACCACCTTCAGAGAGGCATTGACCCAAGACTTCCAATCATTCCTGGCACAGAATTTAGGGTGTACCTTGTTGCAATATGTTGATGACCTTCTTCTAGGACACAAAACCTATGAAGACTGCATAAAAGGTACAGAGGAACTGCTTGGGCACTTATGCTGGAAAGGATATAAGATGTCCCAAAAAAGGGCACAACTGTGCTGCACAGAGGTAAAATATCTAGGATTTTATCTGTGCAAGGGAGAAAGAAAATTAGGGACAGCCAGGAAGGCAGTGATACAGAATATGCCAGAACCCAAGACCCAGAGACAATTACGAGAATCCTTGGGAGCCTCAGGTTTCTGTAGGATATGGCTCCCAAACTACACCATCTTAGCTATGAAGGTACAAAAGGGGAAGAGAAGATCCCTTAAACTGTGAAAATGAGCAACAGACTACCTTCAAGTTCCTAAAGGAGAAGCTCCAAGAGGCTCTGGCACTAGGCCTCCCTGACCTGAACAAGCCTTTCACCTTCTACATGACCAAATGAAAACAGACCATGGTGGTTCTTGCCCCGACTCTTGGTTCCTGGGAGAGACAAGTGGCCTACGTGTCCAAACAACTATAGACAGTGACACTGTAGTGGCCTCCTTGTCTGAAGGCTCTGGATGCAACTGCTCTAACCAAAGAGGCTGACCAACTGACTCTAGGCCAGAACATGTGAGTGCGAGTCCCCCATGCTATGGTCACCTTTATGAATGCTACAAGTCACCCACTGGCTTACCAACTTGTGTCTGACCCAATATCAGAGTTTGGTTTGTGGGATCCCTCAAATCAGGGTGGAAATTTCTAACAACCCAAACCCAACCACCCTTCTCCAAACGGATGAGCCTCTACATGACTGTGAAGAGGCCAAAGAACAGGTCTACTTCAGCTGGCCAGACCTGAATGACCAACCTCTTCAGCAGCCAGACCTAGAGCTCTTCTTCTACGTGGGAGCAGCCATGTAGATGAGACAGTTACTCAACTCTTACCTTAGAAAAGGTCATGGAATCCCGACCATTGCCACAAGGGACTTTGACAGAGGGGTGAACTGATTGCCCTAACCCATGCATTAAGAGTTGGGAAGAGGAAACAGACTAAATGTCTATATAGACTCGAAATACACCTTCCTAATCTTGCATGTACATGGGGCCCTCTACAGAGACAGGGGCCTGCTCACTGCAGGAGGTGAAGAGATTAAGCACCCCTAGGACATACTCCAGCTTCTAGAGGCAGTCTGGGCTCCTAGGGAAGTCACCATCTTCCACTGTAAAGGATATCAAAGGGGAAAGTCCAAGAAAAATTAAGCAACAACAGGGCACACCAAGAAGCCAAGGCCACAAGTCTGACAGCAGAAGGCATACTTCTCCCTTTGGTTCCCTAGAACAACCCCTATCTCCCCCAGCACCAAAATATATCCCATAGGAAATCCAGGGACAACATCAAACGGGGAAAATAAGGGACCAGATGGATGGAACTGGCTCTCAGATGATCTGCTTATAGTACCCCTCCACCTAGGACCTTGGTTAGTCCAGGCTCTGCATGACACCACCCAGCTTGGGAGGGAAAAATTAGAAACTTTGCTTGGCCTCCACTTCTATGCCCCTCAGATGATGGCCCTGATAAAACAAATCACCCAGCATTGTGCTGTCTGTGCCCAATGCAATCCCAAGATGGCACTGGGGATCCCAGCACAGATCAGAAGACAAGGGCAGTGCCTTTTGAAGACTTCCAGCTCTCTTCACCCCTTTGCTCTGGGTAACTCAGTTTGAGTAAAAGATTGCCCTAAGGAGAGTCTCAAACCCAGATGGGAGGGGCCACTAATAGTCATTCTGACCACCCCCATAGCAGTTCAAGTAGGAGTCCCCATGTGGACCTACCACAATCGAGGGAAGAAGGCAGTGACCCCTGAATGGAGATGTACCAGGGACCCTCGCCACAACACCAAAATCATCCTGATTCGAAAGGGACCCTCATTGGCCTCCCCCTCCAAACGCGGGTCCTCCTCTTCCTCACACCAGGGACAGTGCTCTTGAGATTGCTGAGGCCAGAGGGACAGCCAACAAGAATGATGACTGCTACCCTTGCGTATGGGTCACCTGGACAGGGAACTCTATCACGACAACCTATTATTCTTGTTTTTCCACACCTATTATTTTCCACACCTATTCTTGTATTGGGGAAGTTGTTAGGACCTGTGCCCACAACCTGACTATATATGAGATCTGAAGCTGAGGGATGATACCACCCTCTGCTTAAGCCCCAAAATAGGAAGAACCTAGGAGTTCAAACTCATGACTATGTCTGGTCATGGGGAGAGATTAGGACCCATGAGAAGTAAAACCAAGAGATTAAGGCCTAGTGAGAGGGTAAACTTGTATTTTGATGCCTTCACAGTCATTAATTCTGCTGCTGAGAGAAACACTGTCCACACAGCATGGGGAGGTCTAGGATGGGAGAGGGAATATAGTCAGGATGATAAATATATGTGCCCCTGGAGTGATGGCATGTCTGGCTGTACTACTGTCGGCCTATTCAGTTGTCCATATTGGTCATGCATTAAATGGACAACTGGGCAGCTGGAGTCTCCCTAAAAGAAAAGAATACCTCCTCCACTCTGTGGTTCTGGGGCCTGCAACCCACTCTCCCTAAATATTTTAAACCCCCAAGACCCAAACTGGGAGAAGGGAGAAGACTTCGGACTTCCATCCTTTGGATGGACGGGGTGATAACTCAGGGGTTCTGATCTGCATCAGAAGGGTCACCTACATGCCTAACCCCTCCAGCTCCCAGGCCTTCCTCTGATTTATGAGAAGATGCCAACCCTTACCAAAAATTCCCTCTGGGACCCAAAACCTCTTCATGGGTTCAGCACACTTGCTGAACGTCACCTTGTACTGTGTGGGGAGGAACCCTGATGGGAGACCAGTGGCCACTGGAGGCCAGGGAATGGGACTCCCCTGAGGAAGGTCCCAGAAGGAACCCCCTTCTGGGGAAGGTTGAGGACAGGGACATAAAACCCTCCCTGAAGGGAAGCAACCCATGGATCCTAAAGACTGGCAATATCAGGAGGCATGCCTCACCAAAGGGGTAAAAACTTCCAGGTTCAGGTAGGGGAACTAATTTGTCTAGGGCAGATTCTACAATGAGATCAATGGAAATACAGAATGGTGGGGAAACTTGGTCCAGTGTCCTGACTTGAGCCCCAGCTGGGAAAACCTCATTGGTCAGCCTGAAAGGGCTGCACTGGGTATGTGGGAACAGGGTTTATGGCCAAGTCCCACCTAATTGGGTAGAAGGCTGTATCTTAGGAACTGTCAAACTGTCCTTCCTCCTGGCCATGCGCTGTGAAGAAAGGAGCATATCTATAGGTGTTGGAAAGATGATGAGCGGCCCCCAGAGAGCATAATCCAGTATTATGGACCAGACACCTGGGCCGAGGGTGGGATGCACGGATATCAGACTCACATGCTAAATAGAATAATTAAGTTACAGGCTGTATTAGAAATTATAACCAATGAAACTGCCCGAGCACTAAATCTCCCAGCCAAACAGCAGATGAAATTTCCCCATGCTTGAAGGACCCTAGTTAGCAGGACAGACTCCATATTGCTGCTTGACCCTGCCTGCCCTTTAGATGAACTCAGAAGGAGGAAGCTTAGAAACCTCCTCCCCTTAGAAAGTCTCTTTAGAAATAACAATTAATCAACTATTGTTTTACAAATGTTCTAGCAGCAGGACGTTCCGCTTCTGTACCTTTTGCTTGCTTTGCTAGTTCTATCCCATAGGGGTCCTAGAAACTGCTGGCCTCAAAGGTGTATAAAACAGGTTTGTGTCCCCCGAGTCGGGGCTCGAGTCCGATGCTCGGCTCAGGTCCCAGCCGGTAATAAACTCCGGTGTGGATTTAATATCGGTCTCTGGTTGGTTCTTTCTCGCTGGGTCTAACAATGGTAAAAATCAGAACTGCTTGGCTCCCGACTACCTCCCTGCTAAGGTGGGAGGAGTTAGTGGGAAGCTCAATCTAGCTGTTGCCTCCACATAGATGATCAGGGACAGATAATAGAAGAAATCACTAGAAAAATGCAAGAAATAGTCCATGTGCTTGTCCAGACCTGGAAGGGCTGGAATTCAAGGGAAATGTTCAGTGGATGATTCACAGCACTTGAGATTCAAAACATTAATGGGAAGAATCATTGTTATCACTGGGGCCTGTTTAATCATCCCTTGCCTACTACCTAGAGCAACAAGAGCGACAAACACCGTGACTCAAGCCACTGCCACCGTGGACCAAAGAACCCCCGCGTGGACCCCCGAGTGCCTGGGCTGGGGTACCGGCGGATGGGAGAGCGCGTCAGGATTAATCGGATACCTGGGGTCAATGTAAGAGCCTCGAGGGGGGATGAGAGAGGAAGCTGAGGCCTCGGCTCCGTGCAGGGCACTCCCGTGGTCACCCACACCGGCTCTGGACAATCAGCACAACAGCACAGCGGTCTGGAAAGTCCCGTCAGAATCGCCCGGTCCCGCCGACCTCGCCTGCTGCTCGCCCGCCAGTGCTAGAAAGCTCCGTAGATACACAAGAGTATAAAAGTGAAACTAAAGTCCTGTTCGGGGCTCTCGCGGAGACAGGAGTCCCTCGCTGAGCCGCAATCCAGCGCTTTCAGCGCCTGCTCCCTGTCCGAGCGCCCCGAACCGCAGCCTACCCCTTCCCGCCGCAGTCGGAAGCGCAGTTGAATAGAGGCGTGCGGCGTGGCAAATCTCGCGCGATCTCCTTCCGTCCCGCGCGGAGCTTGTGTTGCTAGGTCCACGTCGCACAGGCGCGTCCGTCGGGAGGAGCGGGCCTGGGCTCCGGGAACGGTGAGTGCCCGGCTGGGGCCCGGAACGTCGGGCTCAGAGCGGACGGGCTGCCCGCGGGGCCCCGCTCCGACCTCTGCGGGCAGCGCGGGGTGGGGCGGAAACGGAGTCGGACGCGAGTTGGGGCGTTTCGAGCGGGAATCGAGAGCTGAAGTGAGGGCCGGCCACCGGGGGCGCCGCTGACGCTTCCGCCTTCGCAGCGCGGGCGGGGGGCGAGGTGCTGCGGCAGGCTGCGGGCGCCCTGCCGCCCCGCGCCGGTGAGCTGGGGGCGAGAGCTGCCACAGGGGCCGCAGCTCGGCCGCTTGGGAGTCTGAGGATCCGATGGACAAGAAGAGACCTTCGCGTTTCGCCTGTTGTGACAGCTTCTTCGGGTCCGTGTGTGATAAAATATATTTGGTCTTTGTCCCCAGTCCCTGGCACTGAGGTCCCGAAACCTGGGGATTTCCCGGTTGACAGATGGAGTGGCCAGTCGTTCAGGACAGCCCCAGACAGGTAAGAGTGAGTCGGTCCTGCTGAAGCGCCTCAGTGAACACTTGATCTGGCGCTCTGGACTGGCTCCTGCAGCGGGAGCTTGGAGGGACCGATCCCTGAGCTTTGGCGTCTCTGCTCACTCTGCGCGCTGTCCTGAGTTGTTAGGACCCATTTGGTGTCGGAGGCTTGGTTGGTTTCAGCAAACACCACACATTTCGGGTCAGCAGTGATTTGAGAAAAGACTCCGGCAGCCAGCCCCCTAGACTGTCTGAAAAGTGTTCAGAGTGGGGTCCTAGAGGGAGATAGCTGTGTACGGTGTATGTGTGCTCCTAAAATTCTTGGCTTCTCAGGTTTCATCACACACTACCTAGGTGTGAGCCAGTCTTTGCTACCTCCTTGCTAGTAGAAAGTTCTCCAGGGATGGGGTTATGTTTATAATCCTACTGTTGTTTCTGGATCTTTTTGTTTGTTTGTTCGTTCTGTTTTTTTTTTCTTTTTATGGATTCAGGGAATCGAACTCAGGACCTTTGCACTTGTCAGGCAGGTGTGGCACCGCTGAGCTACATCCCTGGCCCTATCCTACTGTATTCTGAAGAGTGAGTGAAGCAGGCTGCTTCCTCAAGCTGCTTTTCTTTCCTTTCCTTAGTAGAATCTTGTTGCTATGAAGTCTGCATATGCATTCAAGGATTTTATTTCATGATTTGAGCATAAGATTGTGATTTTTCTCGTTTGGAATTTGAGTGCATGCAGTGGTAAGACCTGAAGATTCCAAGAGAATTATTTGTTTATACTGTTTTTTTTAAGCAAAACATTTATTGGCACTTTTTGACATGCATAATAATAACATTCATCATAGGGAATGTGTACCTGTACATGATATATTTTGCTTTCTTTCCCCCATATCCCCCCTCCCTCCAACCCCTCTTCCTGTCCTCATATACAAAAGGTTTCTTTCCATTTTTCCTTCTATTTTCTCTTTTTTTTTCTTGTGCAATACTAAGTTTAAATAAGTGCATATGTGTGCTTCATGGTATTGCCACACAGATGAGTACACTGGCCATGATTGTGTGTGGTGTGTTTCCCTGGTGTAATACACCTCTGCACCCAGAGCTGACTGTAGGGTTTTCTTTTTTTAAAAAAAATTCTTTTATTGGTACATTTTAGGCATACAACACAATTACATTTCTCATTGGGAATTGTACCTTTATATAATGCATCTTGGTTCTTATTTTTTCCTC